CGGCTGTCGGCTGAGTGGCAGCGGGCTCCTGTGACCCCGGCGCGTCTCTCTCCCCCCAAAGCCCGGTGCCCCATCAGCTTGCGCTGTGTGATATTTAAAAGAAGGGTTGCATTCTCCCCAATAGAAGCCCACTCGTTTCCTTGTTGCCAGGAACAAAGCGCACATTCAGAGGGGTGGCTGTTGACGGCTCCCTCTGTATAGCACTGGAAAGCGGGTGGCCTTTGGTTACTGGCAAGGAAAATTCTAATCAGGGTGCTTGTAAGCGGGGCTTTATAGAAGCTTAGTTACAAAAGGCTTACACCAGAGTAATGCAATAACTATAATAACAGCCAGGGAGCCCTAAAGAGGGTGGAATGTGCTTGTGTCTGGATGATTTTCCCCGCTAGCACAGAGAGTGACTGTTTACTGCGAGTGCCATTAAGGATCGCTGGAAACTCACCAACCGCAGACTTATTTCAATATACTTTATTGTTGCATCTGCCCTACGAGCGGCTCGCTTCGGACGGCTCCCAGCTCTTCCCGGGGGACGAGGGGAGAGAGGGGCACCCCTGGGTGCCGCAGGCGGCTCGCAGCGGACCCGCAGCATCTCCTGCCTGGGGAGCCCCGGGCTGCGCTGACCCCACGGCTCACGGGACCGGCCGCTGCCCCCCGCCTCCTTTTGGGGTTTCCAGCCCGCAGCCCCGCTGCCATCCGTGCCCCGGCTACCGCTTGGCCGCGGCTCCGGAGGGCAGGAAATGGCTCGGCCGGGAGCGAGGGCGGTCACCGCGGCCCGGGGCACGGCAGGAGGCTCCCCGGGAGCCCCCGGCAGCCCCGGGAGGGATGAGGGAGGGAAGGAGGGAGGGAAGGAGGGAGAGAGGGAGGCAGGCACGGCTCCATCCCCCGCCCCCGGCCCCCGGGAGGACCCGGCCGCGCTTGCTTTTCGCGGCAGAGCGGAGCGCGGCGAGCAAACTGCCGCTCCGCGCAGGGCAAGAAAAATGGGTTTTTAATAGGAAAGGTCCGCGTGCTTGGCAGCCGGCCACCGCGGCCGGGAAATAAACAAACAGAGCGGCTGCGAGTTCAGGTCGGAGCGCAGGAGTTGCGCTCCCGGCGAGAGGAGCCCGCGGGGGCGCGCACGGAGCCACCGCCGCCCCCGGGGGCAAGAGCGCAGGGACCCCGGGCCGGGGGGAGAACCGGGGGGAGAACCGGGGGGAAAAAAGGGGGGAGCTGCCTCCGGGCGCCGTGCCACCGTGCTGGCAGCGGGCGGAGGGCCGCTGGCCGCCGTTGTTTATCGCGCCCCGGCGCTGCTGCACGCATAACCGCTCCCGGGGCGGCCCCGGGGAGGAGCGCCGGCACGGAGCTGCTCCCGGGGGGGGGACCCCGCTGCTAGCCCCGGGCCCCCGCTCCGCCTCGGGGCCGGCCAGGGCTCGGTGGGGCCGGGCAGGGCTCGGCGGGGCCGGCCCCGGTGGCCGCACGCTGGGGGCGCCGCGCTCCTGCTGCACGCTCCGGGCTCGGTGCCGAGCTCGCCCGGGTGCCGCGTATCAGCCTCCCTGCTGCCTCCTGCTCTCCTCGCCGGCTGCGGGTTTCGCAGAGCTTTCCACTGCCCGCGGGCCCACGGGGGGCGAGAGGTGGCCGCCGAGCTGGGCAGGGGGCTGCGCGGCACCGCAGCCCGGCAGGGAGGGCTCGCCGTGGCCAGGCTCGGTGGGGTGGCTGCCTCCCTGCCAAGCTGGGCTGGGGGGCTGTGGGGAGAGGGACTGGGCTGGTGTGCCCTCGGGAGAGGAGGGCAAAGTGGCTGGGGTCTGTGGGCCAGAGCATGAGAGCCGAGAGCGAAGTCCAAGTGCAGGCTCCAGCCAGCCTTGGGAAGGCAGACGGGAGAGCTGGGGGCGAGGCCGGGAACCTTGGCCCCACGGTGGGGCTAAGCCCGCGGTCAGAGCCCTCTCCTGGGGCACTGGGGGCAGCGGAGCAGCAGGGGAGCGTGGCCTGGGCTACGGCCTTGGCACACCGGGAGGAGGCACGGGGACGAGCCACGCACCCTGAAGGACCCGCAAGCCGCGGCCTGGACCCCCACAGAGGACAGGGCTGCAACCCCACCATCTCCACGAGCAAACCCCAGCTGTGCTGTGCTCCCAGCAGAGCGTGTGGCTCCTTGCCCTGGCTGTGCCTTGCTCAGCAGCCCGCAGCTTCTCGGTCCAGCGGTGCACAGGGCAGGCAGCACGCCGTGGGCCCCCCGAGGAGAGCCCCACTCCTCTCCTCACCCTTATCTCCCTGTCCACACCTCGGCGGGGAGCAGAGCAGCCCCTCCGTCCCCTCCCCGGAGCTCCAGGCTCGCAGCTGGGCGCCGAGACAACGGCGGGTGCGGGCGGGACGGCGGCGGCTGTCGGCCGTGCTCCCGCTCCTCGCCACCGCCCTGGCAGCTGCCAGCTTTTTGGCAGGCAGGAGAAGCCCTGCGAGGGGTCACGGGGAGAGGCTGAATAGCGCGAGGGGCCGGGGGAGAGGAGAGAGCATCGCTGCCGAGCCGGGGAGAGCGGGGACAGGCCAGGAGCCTGGGGGAAAAAAAAAAAAAAAAATTAAAAAAAAAAAAAGGGAAAAGGAGAGGTGCAAAGGAGCGAGGGGGAGGAAGGCGGCAGCCAGCAAAGCGCTGGCTTGGCAGCGTGCCGAGGAGCTGGGGCACGCTGCAGCCCTGAGAGCCAGCCGGGGAAGGGCCGGCCCAGAAGCTGCTTGAACAGGGCGAAGCCTCTGTCCTCCAGACCCGGCGTGACCCACGGCTTAAAAACTGCGGCTGGCTCCCCCCTTCCAGCGGCGGGACCGGGACGTACCTGCGGGGAAGTCCCTGCCTCTCAGCCTCCCGTCCCATTATGCTCGTGCAGCCTAATCCCCGTGCTGTGACCTACAGCAGCGCTCTGATTTATTTTTAATGCGTTCCGATTCCTGTTCCGTTGTCGAGAGATGCATTGAGATTCATTTTCCATCCCCTGCTTTCCAGGCTCCCGTTCTGCTGGCAGGACCCGCCGATAGAGTTTAATTCGATTTGATATGATTTAATGAGCACCTTTATCTTTTGTTTTTAGCAGGAGGATTAAGGAGACGACGGCATTCGGCTTTTGCTAAATCAGACACGTTTCCCACCGAAATCCTATCTGGTGACACACACTCACTGTAACATTTCATTAACAACCCCCTTGATATATTGATTTTTAATATTTGTATTAAATGTTGTGTAAAATTGAACTCAGGCGTTAGAAGAGATTGTGCAAGTCACAAGACATGACTCCTACTTAATTGTTATTATTATTTATTTTTTTTTTTTTCGGTCCTGGAACAACAGTTGGAAAGAGGCCAGGAGGAAGAAGAAGAAAAAATACATTAAAAAATAATAATTAAAAAAAAATATCTCCCCGGGGAGGTGTGTGTGTGGGGGGGGGTTGGAATTAAGGGCTGTGCTCGGAAAAGAGCGGAGGGGATGAGGAGAAAGCTCAAACCGCTTTAGGATTGCGGCGGCGGGGCCGGGCTGCCCGCTGCCCCCCGACCCCCCCCAGCCCCCCGGGACCCCCCCGGGGCCGCCCCCTCCCTCCCCAGCGCCCCCGACCGCTGCCGCCCGGCCCCGGGGCTCCCACCCCCGGCGCTCCCGGCTGGCTCCGTGCGCGTTGCCTCCCTCCTTCTCTCCCTCCCCGCCGCTCCATATGGTTTCTCCCCTCCTCCTCCTCCCCTGCTCCCCCCTCCATGTTGTCTCCGTGCCTCTCCCCGCTCCATGTTCCCCCGGGGAGCGCTTCCCCGCCGCGGCGGGCACGGGGCACGCACGGTGGCCCCCCCCGGAGGGATGCTTGCGGGGCTCTGCAGAGCTCTTGGGGGGGGGACGAGGGCAACTAGGGAGGGCTGGGGGGCAACATGGGCCCTGGGGGCGAGGAGGGGTGCCGGCCAAAGCTCCCGGCCGGAGTTTCCCAGCGTGCGGGAGAGGAGCTCGGAGAAGTTGAGCTCCCCCACGCTTCCCCCCTCCGCGTTTTCCCTCTCCTCAATCCTCCCCCCCCCCCCTCCCCGCCCTCTCTCCTCCCCCCAGGAATACGAGGCATTCAGAGATCAACATAATTCACCTGCATCAAAAAACTCGCGAGCTATAAACTAGCGGCTGATCCTCCGCTTAGACTAGTGTTTAGCCCTTCATGCATCATGAGTGTCAAATAAATGCCTGATTGAGGCCCTCAGCGGAGGAATTAGCTTTCCTTCTGCTGGAAATGCATAATAGAGAAAGTGCTGAGGCATCCTCCCCGGAGTTAGCACGGGCTCGGCTGCCTGCGCTCCTCCTCGCAGCTTTCCCCCCCCCGGCTCCGTCCCCCAGCCCCCCGATAGCCCCGCAGCCCTCCCGCTCAGCGCTCCCCGGAGCTGCCCAGGACCCCCGGGACCGGGCTGGGAGCTCAGGAGCGAGATGGGCTGGGGGAGGGATTGGGATTTTCCCCCCGACGTGTCTCTTGGCCACCTTCCCCAGCCCGCGGCCTCATCCTGCCGGCCGGTGGCGAGGTGCGGAGCCGGGGCTCGCTGCGGCGCACGGGTTGCAGATGTGCCTTCAGGCCCCGGCGCCTACAGTTTAAAAATTAAAAATAATTAAAAAAAATAATAATAATTACAAAAATAATTAAAAATAATAAAAATAAAAAGCGCCCGGCCCGACCATGCACCAGTGACCCGCAATTTCCCCTCCTTCGCAAGCTGAAATACGGCCAAAGTGTCTCCAAGTGAACTCGGGGGCTGGGGACGGGGGCGGGGGGGAGAGGTTAGGGGGGGGATTGGGGAGGGGAAGGGTGGGAGGGGGGGGGGGAGGAGGAGGAGGAAACCGCTCCGGGTTGAGCTCCCTGTGTCAAGTTTCATCCCCTCCTGACATTTTCTGGCGGCGAGCCAAAGTCCCTGAAAATGGAAAATTGGGGAAGGGCGGGCGGGGAAAGGGGGGAGAGGGGAGGAGGAGGGGGGTTGGGGGAGAGCTGCCCGGAGCCGTCGGCGGAGCGGCGGCGAAGCGAGAGAGAGGCGGGGGGGGGGGGGGGGGGGTGAGGGAGGTGGGGGGGGCGAGGCGGCGGAGCGGGGCGCGGGGCATCTCCGATCCGATCCGATCCGGGAGGCGAGCGGAGAAGCCGCCGGTCGCTGCCTTTGTTGCCGGCGGGCGCTGCGGGAAGCGGAGCCCGGGCTGGGGGCAGCGATGAGCTAGGCACCTCGCAGCGGGTGGACGCGGTGGCAGGTCGGTGGCGCTCCCTTCCGCGGGACTTCCCCTCGTTCACCCTCACCCTCGGCTCTCCCCGGGGCTGCTGACGAGCCCCCCGACCCCCCCCAGCGCCCCCGGATCCCCCCCTTCCCCTCCCTCCCACCCGCCCGCAGGCGGCTCGGCGCGGCTCGGCACGGCGCGGAGCCCCGCGGGGGGAGAAAAGTCCGTGCCGGAGCACTCGGGGAGGGCTGCGGCTTTGCCAGGAGGGCTCTCGGCTCCGGCTCTTTTGTCTGGAGCCTTCTCCTGCTTCCCCCGGCCAGGAGCCCCCGGGGAAGCGCCGGGGAGTCCCGCGCTGTCGCCGCGGGTGGCACCGCTCCGACCCCCTCCGGCGGCTCCCGGCTGGCTTTTAGGGGGGCTCCCCCCTCGTGTCGGCCCCTTCCACGCTCGCAGCAGCCCGCCTCGTTATTTGCCGGCTCTGCCAGGTGCCGGCCGGACAGACGGACAAAGGAGGGAGCCCGGCTTGCCTCCGGGGCGCTGCCGGCTCCCGGGGGGGGGGCTGGGGCAAGGCTCCCGAGCGCGTCTCCGTCTCGGCGCTCGCATCTCGGCGCGCTGCGCTCCGAGGCGCTTGTTTTCCCTTTCCACTTGTTTGTCTCCTGCTCGCCTCGTAAACTGCCGCGTGATTTATTACCTAGGCTAAGTGCTTAATTTGCGAATATGAAACAGATTAAAAGGAGAGCGGCGGATTTTTAGCAGGCAGGCCAAAGCGCAGCTGTTTCGAGTTTGGAGGCATCGCCGGCAGCGGCCCGGCCTCGGGGATCCCCGCGGCTGCCGTGGGCCGGCCGCGTCCACGCGTGGCTGCGTGGGACGGGAGGGGAGGGAAAAGGGGGGCGACCCCGGCCACCGGGGCGACCCCGGGGGCCCCGGCCCTCGTCCCCGCAGCCACCGGGGGCCGGCTCCGGAGGCCGAGGGCCCGGCGAGGCGCGCAGGGGGTTAACGACGGCTCTGCCCTCTCCTTCAAAGGACTCACTCGAGATAGAGTAAATACGGCCGGGGAGGGGTGGGGGGGCTGCTCAGGCCACATGATGCAAAAGTAAGACAAGCGCACTCCGGAGAACAAAGGCTTCCTACCCCCTTCCTCCCCCTCCCCTTCCCCCCCCCCCCCAAATCTGTCTTAATTCTGCAAGTAAACTTGAGCGGCTATAAAACAAAGAGGGACGAGGGAACTTACGGCCAAGGGACGAGCAAAAGAAATAGCTTGGGTGCAGCCCTCGCCTCCTTCCCTTAGCCCCCTGCCCTCGGCCAGGCGGGACATCGTGGGATGTCCCCACTGCAGGGGCCGGGGTCGGGGTGGCAGCAGCCGGGGGGACGCACCGGGTGGCCCCGGGAGCACCGTGCCAGTGTCACCTCGTGCCAGTGTCACCTCGCAGGCCGGCTGCTTTCACACTTGTTACCAGCCCCCAGGGGTGATTGCCAGCCCCGGCGCTGCTGCCTCGCTCCCTCAGCCCCCCAGGAAGGTTTAACGCACCGGGGGGCTGAGGGGAGCCGGGGGGAGCACCAAGCTGGCAATCCATGCTGCTGAGCAGACGGCGAGGCCCTCTGAGCACAAAACACCGCTCCTGAAGCTCAAAAGCCAGAGGGAGGCAGGAACCCGTAACCTGCCCCGTGCCTCGGAGCGCTGCTTCGGAGCAGTGAGTGCGAGCACTGTGTCATCCCCGGCAGAGCAGAGCGGAGCAGACAGCGCTGGCGAGGAGGAAAGTGACTCATGTGCCCTTGCTGCACCTCGAGCGGTTGCTCTGGTGCTGCAGACGTGGCCGGTGTCAGAGCTGTGCAGGGAGTGGGAGATGGGGACAGGCCCCGGCCGGAGCACGGGGACCTGGGGTGCTGATGGCACGGGGCTGAGCCTTGGGCTGCTGGGGGTGGGAGGGCAAAAGGGCACACACGCGGCATTCAGAAAGTGCGTGAAGGTCTCGGGGTGATTCTTGTCAATACACGTGTGTCTCTGCAACTGTTTGGGGTTGGTTTGAGGCAAGGTTCTTCCCTATTTGGGGAGATGTTCGTGGCAAGCCATGCGGGAACGTGTTTACCGAGGGCCTGATGGGGTTTGTGTAGAGCTGCCACGTCCCACAAGGGTGGTGTACGCCCGTGACAGGCGAGGTGTCACACAGGTGTTAGACACCACTTCTCTTTGTAGCCCTGGGCCTCCCTGTTCACGGGCTGGAGCTAGGAGCAACACCTTGGAGCAAGGTGGGGAGCGGTAGCCAAAGGATGGCCCCGGGGTGTCCTCACCTCCCTGCCGGTTCCGCACAGGGCTGCTCTCTTGCCAGGTACCTGCAGCATCTTCGGAGAGAGAAAAACAAGGGTTTGTGTCACAGTGCTTTTCCCTGGAAGCGGGATACGCAACGAGAGGCAGAAAAAAGGACAGTGGCAGTGGAAAAGGAAAAAAAAAAATAAACCCATTTCCAACTTCGTGGCTTGGCCTTTGCAGTCATCCCTACCTCGGGGAGGGCTGTGGACACAGCACTAAGCCTCGGTTACACTGCTGAAATTCACCACGCTAAAAGTCACCTGGTCCCTTGAGCACTCTTGTAAAGCACTCCAGGTCCCCATAGAAAATGGTTTGCGTGTGCTTAAAACTATGTGAATTGGATTTGCTTCCAACAGTGCATAATGCCAGTTTCAGCCTGATCCTGTCTGGCTTTCACTGAATTAATGCCTGGATGGATCTAAGTCCAAACGTCTAAGACCAAAGTGGTTCAGATAGTCCTCCTGCTGCTGTCCCTTGATGCCCCGAAGGCATTTTAAAATCTCCTTGGAAGTGCTCTTACGGGGTGATTGCTAAGCCTCAGAAACAAAACAGCCGAGAGCGCTGCTAAAGCAGAAGGGGCGAACCCTGATGGCTCCGAGCAGCCAGCGGGGACCCTGCAAGGTAGGCAAGCAGCGGCAGAGGGGAGAAATTTGGGGCTAGGGTAAGGCTCAGGATGTGAGAAGAGAGAAGTGGGGGAAGCAACACGCTACCTTGGAGGCGTGGGGCAAATTTCGTGGTATTTTATCGCTCCGGGTTCGCAAGTACTGAGTTACCTGACAGCAGTTTTACTGTGCTGGGAGCCGTGTGTGCACAGAGGGAGGATTGTTCCTGCCCGCCCAAGTAAGGGAAGCCAAACTGCAAAATGTACGATTGGGGATGAGAAGGAGAGATGCTCCGGTGGCACACGGAGGCAGGCGAGGTCCTAGCTCCATCCGAGGGCTTGTTGGCCACGGCTCCTGGAAGCCACCGCTCCCCGAGCCCGTGTCCTGCCGTCAGAGGAGAACAGTGCGTGTTTGTGTGCGGGTGTTCATGTGAATGTAATTTTGTTTCTACATAATGTGGATTATCTTTCTTTTAGGGGCAAATCCGTTCGGGGGTTTAGATAAAAAAGAGAAATCCTGCAGCCTTTCCCTCGCGGGGAAAGCGCATGTCTTCCATTGCTTCCTCCGATTCTTTTTTTTTCCAAACGGTCCCCCAAAACCCTTTTTTTCTGGCTCAGCATCACACCTCGAGAGCCTCCTGCTCTCCAAGCAAGGCACTCGCACACGGGAGCTGGGGGGGAGCTTAGGGGCAAGGTGCAAAATTACCCTCCCGCGGTTCTCATCTCCCAGGCGAGGGCCAGGCGGGCTCTGCAGACGCTGTTGGTCTGCTGGCTCGGTTCATTTCAAAAATAAGTTTGGGTGCCGATTGCTTCGCCTCGGAGAGGGAAGCGCCGGGTGTTTTTGCAAGTGAAGAGCGAGGTGAGCGCCTTATGGGAGGTGTGCCTCACGTAGCCGTGGAGAGAGGGCTGAAATGAGGCATTCATTCAGCACCAGGCCTCCGCGCGGCAATGAGTGAGACCCGTGGTGAAAGAAAAGGGCCTGAACATCTGTATTTGCCCAGTGGCACCGGCACCAGCCAGCTTGTGGAGAGGAGCAGACGTGCGGGTGTGAGGCCCAGTTGGGACTGCTGGGTCCCTGGTGCTTTTTAAAAGGAAATAATAGCTCGTGGGGGAACCCTTTCTCGTGGCCTTGGCTCCCGTGACCCCCCTCTGATGTATGATATTTAAACAAGGAAATGTCAATATTGGTTTTCCACATCCAGCCCCGCACTGCTCTCCGTGAAAGCTAATGACAAAATCCTCGGGGAGTTAGAGGAGAGCAGACCCCAAAACAGGCACTTAGACCCAAAACCCGGCCGGCTGAGGCAGCCTGCAAGAAAGAGCAGGTCGTAGCGAGCAGCCGGGCAGCGTGCCCTCTTTGCGGGTAAATTAGGGGGAAGGGAAGCAGTCCTGTCGTGCCCTACACCTTGCCTCAAAGCTGTGGGTCTGGTGCTGTGACCGATTATAATTTTTAAAATTATAAATCGCATTTTGGTACAGCGAGTGAGGGTAACGCGCCGCTCACCGGAATTACGTGCAGCTCCAGGGTGCTTGGTTGTAACAAAGGTGACTTCTCCGCGTTCCCTTTTCCACCGTCGGGGCTAATTGGGGTTTGATCTGAACCTGGTGGCTGTCTGGCGGTGCTTCCCAAAGGGAGCGGTGCCGGCTGTATGAGAAGCTGCCCAGAAACGGGGCCATCGTAGATGTCTTCTGACACGCGTGTCCTCTGAGGTAGGAAAGTGTAAGTCATAGGAAGAGAGGGCCAGCGCGGCTGACTCATAGCAAAACGAGGGCACGTGGGAAGTATAAACGAAGGGAGGGCTGCTACTAGCAGGACGTGGAGGCTGTGCCGTGTGTCATGGGAAAAATAATTTTATAGTGGATAATTTCAGCTTCAAGGGGCAGGTGTGGTGCCACGGCACGGCACAGAACGTGAGTCAGGGCACACGCACCAAAGCGGCTCGATTTAGCCCGTGCTGCCCTCGTCTTGGTGGTGGTTTGTGCAAACCGGGCCTCTCTGGGTGTTGCAGCAGCAGCTTCGAGGTCCTCTGATGTAACAGGGACTTCGCCATAGCTCACCCCGGGGCAAGAAGCAGAGCTGCACGGGCTTTGCGCTGCGTCGGCACCATGTCCCTGGAGGCAGTAGCGGAATAAATGGGGTAAGAGCCCCTTAATCGGCTCTGTGCACGGGGAGAACGACTCCCGTATGGGAACACCTTTCCTAAGCAGGTCACGGCTGCCTTCCTACTCGAAGGTGGACTCACTCTGCTCACTCAGGCTCCAGCATGTGCTGCCACCTTCCATTTTCAAGATCGTGTCTGTCCTCAGTGATTTTCTGCTTGTGATGGTACAAATGATGTGGGGAGAGATCCTTGGCGCACAGACTGCTTCTCCCTCCTTATACGAGTCCTAGGACGATGAAGCCCTAGCTCTGGCTGAGGTTTTTAGGAGTCCCTCTCACACAAATAACTCCGGGCAGCTCCGCCACAGCTCGGGCCACCTCTTGTGCAGAACAGAGTCTGGGCTTGCAGCACCTGGTGAGATGGTAGAGAAGTTTGCACACAGCGTTTCGTGTGAGGCCCCAGGCGTAGCTGGAGAAGATCAGAGATCAGGAAGGCACTGGGGCAGCGCAGTCAATTCTTCTGTAACACACGGACCTTGGTCCCTCCACGATCCTGCCGTTCCAGGCTGCATTTGCACGGCTAGGCTATCCCAGGAGCTGAGAAAGCTTGGAAAATGGATGGGCATTGCCAGGATGGGCAGAGGAAGGACAGCTCCTAGTTCTTTATCAGTGGCCATGCTTCCGCTGGTATCTGGTGGGACAGCTGTACCCTACATATAGTACGTCCCTCAGAGCAGACACTCATGTGAAAGGGAATGGGCTCGGGTGTGAGAGCAGTGGCTGAAGAAGCTCTAACAGAGGCTGTTTCTGATCTACCTGGGGAGGAGCGACTCCAAACTGAGACCCACCACGGCCTTTGAAAGGGCTGAACTACCCCCAGCCTCGTGGGAGCTTAACGGGGGGCTTCGGCGCTGCAGGAGGGGAAGAGGCACAAGAGGGAACGGTGCAGCAGGGCTCTGCGCACGCCCCTCTCTGATAGAGCACAGCCAGGGTTGGTGCCGTTGTAAGAATATGCAGCAGTTGCTTCTTGCAGACAAAAGAAAAAATATGAGGCTCTGCTGAAGGCGAGGGCTGATGAAGCACCGAAAAAGCCCTCGCTAGAGAAACGAAGCTGGCTCTGCAGTTTGGTCCAGCGCTGCTCAGCGTTGTGAATTTGATGAACAACACTAGTCTGCATGAAGACAGGCGGCTTTTTAAATGGGCTTTTAATAAAGTTGGTGTTGCTAAGGCCATCTATAAAGGTAATCCGCACAGGATTTTAAACAAGTAAACTTAATGATGCTATTAACGCTTATGATTTGAGCGAGACCTTTACGGGAATGCTGCGCCCAGGTCTGTTGTGGTGTTTGCATGTCAAAAGCACACGGGCGAATTAATGTGGGATCGGAAAAGAGCTCCAGAAGTGATTCAAGGCCTGGGAATCACATCTTATTGCATAAGACGAAAGAAATCCCATCTATTAATTTATCCAAGAGGAGGCTATGACTTGGTTTGATCACAGTCCTTAAGTGCCCTAAGTGTCTCTATGGGGAGATTTCTGATAGCAGAGATCTCTTTAATGTGGCAGACAAAGGCATAATGAGATCCTATTTCGGAAAAATGAAGCTCTATGAATTCTGAGCAGAACCAGGGGCATTTTTCTAAAAACAGTGAGGGACACAACCACTGGAACGACCGAGGCAGGCGGCGGGGCTTCTGTTACTTAAAAGTCTTCAGAGCAAGATTGGATGCCAGGCTAAAAGCTCAGCCAGAATTTATGAGTCTGATACAAGAATGTCTGGCTGAAATTCACTGGCCCATGATATGTAGCGGGTCAGAGCAGCTGATCATAACAGTCCTTTCTTGGTTTAAAAATCTATGAATTTGGTATTTCAAGTCTCCTGAGCCCTGATATAACTGGAGGTCTTGAAGAAATGCATTATAAGCCGTCATCATTTAATTGTAAGCAAGCAGGGGTATTGGGTATTGCCTTTTTTTTTTTTTTTTCCTTCATTAAAAGAACTTCTTTTCCAAGTGTTTGTTAGGCACCAGAGTTAAGCAGCTTGTTAACAAACATGACAACATTTTTTAAGCAGTTTGACTAATTCTTCTTCCATTTGCTCAGCTTTGTTTTGCAGTGGCACGGTTTCAGTACCACAGTTGTCTGTACCAATGGTTGGCCAGGCGCAATCTGAATTCCAGCAAAACAGAATAGGCAGCCTACGTAGGACAAGGATGCTCCCCTTATTCTGTACCCTCCTTTAAACGCACCCCTTCCCGTCACAGGTATGTTATAGGCTTTCTCTTTCTGTGCGGACAGAGCTGGGAAGGAGCACATCCATTTTCGCCCCTGGTGCGGATGGGTCTCCATCGCCCATCCAGGCGAGCGTTTGGCCTGCAGAGCTCGTTGGAATGAACGGCAGGGGAAGGGAAAAGGAGCCCCCTCGTATTCCTCCTGTTCCTGAAATTAACCTCCTCGAGGCTTCATAAAATGGCCTCCGGCGAATGGCCAGAATATCCTCCTCACGCCGGGGGAGTAGTTTCCAAGACAGCGCAAACTTTCTCAATATCTCTTAGAAGGAAAGGGGGGGGGGAGGAGGGAAACGCCACGGAACAAACAAACAGCACAAACCAACCAGCCTGAAACGGCAACAAAACGACCCAAAATAAACAGCCGTGGCTCTCGGGAGTCCCGAAAAGCCCGTCCCCGGCTGCGTGGCCGTGCAGCCCCCGCGGTGCGCTCAGTGCCTCGTTAATCGCGGCTGCCAGAAACGAAAGGAGAGGTGGTAACGAGCGCAACAAAAGATGGAGTTTAAAGTCCCCCGGGGACCGAGCTCTTGGCGTCGAAGGGGGGGGTGGGGGGCGCTTCCTTCCTCCCCCTCTCTTCTCCTGCCTGCTCTTCCTCGGAGCCCCGCGGGGTTTATTTTGGGGTCTCCGTGGGACCGAGCCGAGGCTCGGGGGGGTGAACCCCGAGCGGGGCACGACCCCGTCGGCTGCACAAGCCTCGGGAACGCGCCTGGGCGCGCCATGACAACCCGCAGCCCCGGCTGCTCCCGATCCCGCAGCATCCCTGCCCCGGGGCTGGGGTCTTTGGGGGCCGGGGTCCTTGGGGTCGGGGGCCCTGGGGTCACGGTCCCTGGGGCAGGGGTCCCTGGGGTCGCCCCCCGCCGTGCCCGGGAGCCCCTGGCTTCCCGTTTCGCCACGTTTGGGGAACGCCGGGCTCGGGAGGCGAAGCCCGCAGCGGGCAACAAAAGGGGATGAAAGGAGCTCGGCGGTTCACTTGCCGTGTCCGAGAGGCATTTTCGTGCTCCGGAGCGCGGAGGGCTCATCCTGAGGAAGTTCAGATCAAAGGGGACAGCAGCCCGGACATTTGCATAATTGCCGGATTTCGGAGCGCGGCCGGGCGAGCGTTTGGCTGCCGAGCCCGGGCACCGCACCGGGGGCTGCCCCTCGCCTCGCCCGGGGCGCGGCACGGGGGGGGGGGGACCCCCGGTGGTTCCCCGGGGGGTGGCGGTGGGGAGGGGGTCCCCGCCCCGACCCGGCGACATCTGCGGCGCGTCCCCTCCCCGGGGCGGCTGGCGGGGGGCTCCCGGCCCCGCGGCTCGCCCCGCCGCAGGCGAGCGGGGATAAAGGGATTAAAGGGCACGGCAGGCTCGCACAGCCGGCCGGGGAGGCACCTCGCAGATCCGCGGGTCCCCCGACCCTCCCCGGCTGCCCCCGGGCACTTCCCCCGGTGACACCGGGCGGCGCCGGCCCCATTGTTCCCATAAGCGCCGTGCTGGGGGCGCTGGGGCTCGCCCCGCTCCGTGCCGGGCGGGGATGCCCGGGGACACCGTTTTCAGCCATTTTAGAGCTGAAAACGCCGGCGGCTCTCGGCAGCGGGGAGGGCCGGGCTGGGGGGGCTGCCCCAGCCCCAAGCAGGGGTGCAACCGAGCCCCGGCCCTAGCGGAGCCGCCAGCCCGGTGCAGCCTCCCCGGGGAGAGGGGGCTCGTCCCGCACGGCTTGGCCCCGATGGCCAGCGGGGAACCGAGGAGGGCAGGGAGCAGGCAGCGCTCCTGTTTGCTTTGCTGTCGCTTCGGCTCTTATCATGCGCCTTGTCACTCATAAGCGACCTCTCCCCGTCCCCTCCCCCCGGCCCCCGCCGCCTCCCCCCCGGGGTCAGTGGGGAAGAGGCCGGGAATCCAGCTGGGAAGGGAGACGGGGGGGAAGAGGGGTCGCAGGGAGACGCGGCTGGGGCGGGGGGGATGAAAGCAGCTGCGCGCAGAACAAAGGTGCTGGAGGGTGGCTTTTGGTGCTGGAGCAGAACCTCGTAAATGGGAGATTTCCGTTCGCAAGACTCCGCTTGCACAGTTTCTGTCCTGCCCTTGAACTGACAGGCGAATATCTGCATCGCAACCAGAAAGTAAATCACACCGAGCCCGGCTCGGGGAGGGCGCGCGCAACGCTCCCCGCCGTTGCTAAGTGCTAAAAAGTGGGAGCTTTCCTCCTTCCCAGCGCAGCCCCGCTTCCCCCATCCAATATTTACTTTGGGAGCCCGGAGAAATGCGTTCGGTGTTTATTGCGGAGAGCGCCGGGGCGAGCTGGCGTTTGCGTGATGAGGAGCGAGCGGAGGAGCGGCCGTGGTGCGGAATATCAAAGCCAGGCCGCCTTGGCAGGGCTCCCAGGCAGGGCTTTACTGGCACCCGCGGGATTCCACGGGGCAGGGCGAGCGCGGCCCGGGCGGCGGCGGCTGCCTCTCCCCGCTCCCTGCTCCCCGCTCCCCGCTCCCACCACCGCTGCCCCGGGGAACCAGGAGCCACCAGCCCCTGGTGGGAGGCGCACCAGCCCCAGCAAATGTCAGTCCTGCTGTTTTCTGCGTGTTTCAGAACCGCGGGGTGCTCGCTCCTGCTGGTGCTCCCAGCTCCGGGAGGTTGTGCCTGCACGCTCGGCGCTTGGCCAAGTCAGCTGCGGCCAGCCTGGCGGTGCTGCGACGTGTGGTCATGGTCACACCCGGGGAGAAAAGCACCCACCGTGGCCCTCAGAGAGCAGACAAAGGTCTGGGCGGTGAGCCCTGTGGCCCGCCGGCCCTGTTAATGTTCAATCTGGAGCTGGAGAGCGGGCGGAGATCGGCCTCGCTGCTCGGCCCCACGCAGGGGGTGCCGACCCCTGCCCGCGACCCCCGGCCGGGCTGCATGGGGTCCCCGGTGGGTCCCTGCACGATGCACAGCTCCGTCCTGCCCCGCTGGGCTGGCCTCTCCTTGGAAGTTAGGTTGAAATAACATTTGCGTGCGCGTTAATGATTTATTTATGTGGCTAATAACGCTCGCATTCTCGCTGATATTTGTCTAGGCGAAAGACCAGCTGCGAAATGCCCCGCAGCTGTAGCCAGAGCTAGAACAGAGTGCCTTGGAACCAGAAATCAATGCTCCTGAAATGAACAAGTGGACAACTTATTAGGCTCAGTCACTCCACACACCGTCCCTTGATAACGAATAGATGAAGTACGCGCCGGAGGAAGGAGGCGCTGGAGAAAGCCACACGTGCCCGCTCCTTGGCGGCGAGGCAGGGCAATCCCGGGGGCACAGCCGGCCACACGGGCAGCCCCGGGCAGGGCAGGGGCTGCAAGAAGGGGTTAGATGGCGATAAAAGCATCAGGCACCCAGGAGAACGGCTCCACCAGCCATCGCTAAAGGTGTCCGGCTTGCCGGCTCCTCTCCAGAAAGCACGGCAGACAGGTTGGGCCAGCTCCCCGTAGCCGGGGCGTCTCTGCCTAGAAACAGCAGCGCTCCTTTTTGCATTTCCACCGTCCTCGGGGAGGAAAAATTACCTGTCCTCCCGCAATGCAAAGCGCTAGGCAAACAGGAGCGGCGGGCGCGCACCGAGCCGCCGCTGCCACCCTGACCTCCCGGCGGGGAGTCAGCGGCCGGGAATGAGCCGGGGCAGGCGGCAGCAGCCCGCCCAGGACGCGCACAGCGCCCTGCCGGGTGCTCGGCAGCAGCTCGCAACTCGCCGCCGGCTGGGGAAGGTCCGAGCTGGAGCCTGCGGCTCGTTTCCCGAGGCCTCGGTGCATCCCCGGCGAGCAGCGCCCCGGCGCTAAGTGCCATTAGCATAACAGGCACTGAAAGAGGAGAGAGCGGCGCTGAATTTAATTTGCAGGCTTTAAAAAAAAAAAAAACACGGAGGGGGGGGGGCGGGGGAGGGAAAAAAAAAACCAACAACTTCACACTTGGAGCGGGCTGGCGAGGAAACGTGGGGAGAGGGGCTGGAGGCTGCCTCGCAGCGGGACCCGGGACCACCTCGGGGGCGCGCAGCTCCGTAAAATACGAGGCCAGGTAAAGCCCAGCGCCGGGAATGCCTCCCGCAGAGCCGCCCCCCTCCCCCGGGGGCAGCCGCAGCGCGACCGGGTCGCCGGCACCTCCCGGAGCCTCCTTCCTGCCCCCCCGGCACGCACAGCCCTCGATCCGGCTCGCCTTCCTGCCCCGGCTGCCTCGGGGGAGAGGGAGGAAATAGGAGGGGTGGGGGAGAAGCGGCTGGGTGAGTGCCCCCCCCCTCTTCTTTCCTCCTCTCCTCTCCCCCCCCCGCCGCCTCTTGCAAACTGCCTCCCATTAGCAGCAGAAGTTCACAAGAGAGAGCGAGGCATAAAGAGAGGGAGAGCGAGGTTTCCGAGAAAAAGGAGAGGCGAAAAGAGCGAGGTTAGAGATTAAAAAAAATAATCATAATCATAATAAAATAATGATTAAAAAATAATCGCCGCAATAACAAGAGACCCACCGATCGGCTGGGAAGCTCGCGGTATCCGGCCGGAGGAGGTGGGGGGGGGGGAAGGAAAGGAGAAAAGAGGGCTTTAAAAAACTGGAAGGCAAAAGCTGTTGGGGAGGAAGTGTAAGCCGAGAGGGAGGCTGGGGGAGGGGAGAGAGCGCCATCTTTTCATGTCACAGTCACAGAGACAGCGCTGGGCTCGGCCACAGCGTCTCGGTTTCTTTTTAACAGCGGAAAACGTGCGATTAGCAGGCAGACAGGCGGGGACGGCCAGCCCTGCGCGCACACACACAGCCCGCAGCTCCGGCTCCGCGCCGTGTAATCCCAGCGCTCAGCCCCGCTGCACCCCCTCATTAAAAACCCGGAGATTTCCTCCTCCTCCTCCTCCTCCTCCTCCTCTGCTCTCCGAGGAAAACAACGCCTGCCACGGCCCCAACCCGGGCAGCGCCGCCCGGGGGCCCCGCGCTCCGTGCCGCGCCGTGCCGTGCCCGACGGGCCGCCCGCTCCCCTGCCTCCCAGGGGGCCTCCCCCCGGGGGTGGGGGTGGGGGCACCGGCTGCAGCCCCCCCAGCACCCCCTCAGCCCACTCCCTTTCTCCGGGCGCGGTCGGGGGGCGCCGCAGCTCCGGGCGCCGGGGAGCTCCGGGCTCCCCCGGGGGCCAGGCGGTACCGTGGCGGAGCCGGGCCCCGCCGCCCCCCGGGGCCGATGAAGGGCGCTTTATTCCGCAGCGCTCACAACCCCTCATTGTGTCGGGCAGAATCACCTGCCTCCTCCGGAGCCTGAGCGATTCATTTAATGCGCTACACAGCGCGCTCCGTCCCGGCCCCTCCTCGGCTCGGGGCGAGCTCCGCGGTGCGCTCTCCACGGAGCGCGGAGGAGGGGCGCGGCACGGCACGGCACGGCTCGGCACGGCTCGGCACGGCTCGGCACGGCTCGGCACGGCTTGGCACGGCTGGCCGGCATCCTCCGAGCACCGTCTCGGCCGGCGGCACCCCGGGGAAGCCTTTCCCCGGCCGGCAGCTCCGCTCGCAGCATCACACGCGGCCGCCGCGCAGCCCCGCTCGGTGCCCGGGGAGGGGGAGATGCGAAGGGGGGGGGGGAGC